ACTGTCTGATGGCAGCAGGTGTATATTTCACAGGGGTTGACGGGTTTTAACAAAAATACCAACTAACACTTTCGGTCTGCGCCTGTAGACGTAAAATGTACTGATGTATAGCAGGAACAGATATTAATTTCTTAGGAGATTAAGAAGCTGAATTAGGCGAAATGTCAGGATTATTCATAATGTGCGGCCCGGGTGAATTCTCAGATCACGCTATCGATTCGCCATATCCAAAGGCGCGCGCCTCGAGGTCACACAATTCGATCTGGATAAAGGGGCCTGATGGCCAATCAATACGCTAGGCACATGAAGACGCAGTCTGATTAGTCTCATATATAATCTTCCGCGGGGCCATAAGCGACTTCCTTTCCTTTATGTCCTTGTTCGTTGTTCTCCTTGTTGGATTGACACAAGGAGACTAGCAGCTGCAGAAATCTAGCATGAAAACACATTGCAACAAATGGCTGCAGTCCTGATTAACTCTAATAATAACAGGAAACGGTTAACAAAACCGAAATGAGGACACAACAGATTATAAAGTAAGGACACGACAACATCTAAGTAAGTATGCACACAGAACTTAGTTAGGTGTTGTCGTGTTCTTTTTTCGCGATTATTGTGTCCTAATTAAGGTTTTGTTTTTTGCGAATTGTGCTTTCGTCATAGTTACTCAAGACCGCAGTCAAGACAAGATTGCAGCCGGTGCATTTTATTGCCAGCTGGAATAAGGCCATAGTAAGTGTCAAAAGAATTTTCCTAGCTGCTTTCGTTTTTTTGCAAAAGAAATCACTTATTTATTCTGATAATACGTATATGCTCAAATTGCTTTTGAGCACTTTACCAGACATAGACGAGATAAAATATCAGCCTACACTTCGAATTCTTATGACTGTCAGGGCCTCTGTCGAGACCCCAGGCAGAGCGGGAATGGTGAATTCCGTTAATGGTCGTTCAGCAATGAGTGTCAATATCGCCTACCTAAATCGACAAGACACCGAGCTGGTGGCTTAGTCGTCAGGACTTTTGACTCTGATCAAAAAGCCCGCAAGTTCGAGGCACGGATGGGGTGCCACTTGGACCTGGGTTTGATTGGCTGACGCAAGCTAATAAGCCAGAAATGGTCATTCCAGTCTCCATTGTCTTTGTCGGCAATACTCTGCCTACATTACTAGCCGTTAGGGTTTTCAGGGACAGGTTAGTTACGTTAGCGTTTGGGTGAACGTTCATCCTCGAGCTTTCCGAATTGCAACTTGCCAGGTGGTGCTTATTCCTGGTGTGTTTATTTTGAAACACCAAATAAAAATGGCGCACAAAGCAATGGCTACTTTACGCTCCCAGCTACTACACCCTAGGGATAATGTTGTCTATCTCGATAAGAAAGAAGTCATATACAGAATCTCATGCGAAGCTTGTGACATGGTTTATTGTGGGCAAACAGGAATATCCGTCTCCACACGCATCCACAAGCACTACTTGACAGTGTAGAGACGTGACCATTTGTCCGAAGTGGGTATGCATTTTCTTTACTCAGGACACACCCTTGCATGGGACAAGATACACATCGTCGAAGTTTGACCCCCGCAAAAAGGCTGAGAATTGCTTGAGGTCATGCACTTTGATTATTCATGCATTAAACGGCAAATCGAGTTGGCTGGAGTGGAAAAGACTACAGCCGATAGAGATGGACCAAAATAACCCGCACTTAGTGCTCCAACCGGACGACCCGGACTGACCCCCGACAAAATCAAATTACAGTTGTCAATTACCCATTAAACTATTGCGACTGCTAAGTAAGTCAACCACTAGCAATTAACGCCCACCCTAGACAATTATATATTTATATAGGGACTTTGCTCTGTTACTGTTTTGCACAATCTTAGCGAGTCTTATGGTGACCTGGGGATCCAGTATCGTTAATGGAATGAGTAAATTTCATTATTTTCCAAAGTGACGCCTTTCCTTCAAATTACATTTCTTTGTGATTCCTGCTTTCCAGTTTCTGTAAGTTGTAAAATATGTTATATTGTTAAGTGGGAATTGGTAATTAAATATTAATCAATAGTAGACAAACGGACTCACCACAACTTTTCCGTGAGCTTTCCAAGCAAAGTAGGATGCGTAGGCGTTGTCATTTGTGTCCAGCCAATGTAGATAGTCTGCCAACTCTGCAGGCGACGAAAAGTCGTCCACATTTATGAAGGAATTTGGAGGCGCCAAAGCACAGTAATCGTCTCGTGGAGCACCCATTACCACTTGCAGCATACCAAACCTATGAAGAACGGTGGATTTGAAAAATAAGGCTGACGGGCAAGAGCACTTTGAAGAAAAGGTGTCATCGGAAAATACCAAAACAATAATATACTGACGACAATTGGATAACAAGGGACGTAAACGATAGAAATGGAGCAGAAAAATCAGCTGTCCTTCCTAGATGTCCTCATTGGCCGAGGGGATGGTGGCTCAATAAGGCGCACTGTTTTCCACAAAACTATTTGGAAAGGCCAATAGCTACATTTAACCAGGTTCGTTCCACCACAGTGGAATTGAAATCTGGTACTTACAACTTTCCAGAGGGCTATGAATATGTGCTTCAGAGAGACAGCACCGGCAGAAATTACTTGAATCAAAGATGGCCAACTTAACCGTAACTATCCTTCACGTTTAATTCTTAAATATAGAAGTTCTTTACAGCCAAAATATATGGAAGAGTCAGTTCTGGATAGCCCAGTTTTTATATGTTTACCCTTTAAGTGGGACAATATTTCAAATACAGGCAAACGATGACAGCTGAAGTAGGGTTCCTCACTCCCACGAATAACCATCCAGTTAACCGGAAACATGATGCCTTACCTCTGCACGCCACCCCATACTGTGTCTATGAACTCACGTGCACTTGCGAATGCAAGTTCATTGGGCGTCCGCAAAGGCAATTGGCGACAGGGTCGCTGAACATTCACCTAATTGGCTTGCTCGTGCTCGAACAAGTACTCGTACTTGGTCCATCCGAGTATATGTTTGAGCACGAAAAACTCGCACCTTGCTCCACCTAGAGGCTACCTGCATATGGTAGCTACCATATGACACTTTTTGACTGTTATCTCCTAATTCAATTTTGTATTTTTCTCATTCGTTACTCTCACCGTGCAATGGAATGATAGCAAGTGATATGCTTTCCCGAAATTGTATGGATCCTATAAACCTTGCATTTTTTTAATATATATATATATAGATATATGTATGCACCTGGGATACTTTGCTTTAAATTGTATTCCTTAGCGATGGTTTGCCCTAGCTCGATATGTACTTATATTGGCCAAAAAATGTATTTGCTGTTGCCTTATTTTCTATTTGAAAAATACGTAAAACTTTAACTCATATAACTTCTTTACATATTTCGTTCTCACATGACTTGGTGATCTCCACGAGCTTTTTTTTACAGAGACACGAACAAAAGTGCACCCAGAGTCAAAAGCGCATGAAATTTGGGTCATGCGCGCACACAAATGACGTGCATAGGCGAAGACCTCCCTTCTACTTGTTACGGCTGTGACCATGCCTATTCTAGCCAGCCTCGATGCTTTCACATACGGTTCCTCGCCATGCATGACGAATGGTTGCAATGGATCTGAAGAGCTCTACCCGGTCTCTTCTCCAGCGCCGGAGATCGAATACCTAAGGTCCAAGAACCCCTTCCATGAATTAAAGGCTTAAGTCAGGCCAGGTTTTCGGCTCACTCCCACTTCGACCTTTCTAATTAGGTAACGGTTTCGGGTTGACAGCAATGGCACTCCTCTCCCAAGGTTGACGACGAAAAACATCCCCAAACCACCTCAGTCGTCTTTCCTGAATGGCATGGGATGTCCTTGTAATTTTGTCATATCGAGAGCGCACTATTTTATTTGAAACACAGGAAACTTCACTCAAAGGATGCTCTTCAGATAGTAATGGTCAAAGACTTCCACACTTCCATTCATTTTCCACGCGTATATCCCAACATTTGCATCCCTATAGGTGAACGGACCGCACAAATGAACAGTACATGCGAAACTTTGTGGAGATAGAAATATCAGGTCGGGTCCGACGGCTGGAGAAAACCCGTCGTGCTGCGTCTATTCGGAAAACAATGTCATCCTTACTCTGTCCATTCGGCAGCAACGTCGATCCAGGGTATGTGAAATCGTCAACATTTTCAAGTTGACAGCCACTAATCTCGAGAGAGGCCTTCTCTTGAACAAGGATGCAGCATTAAAACACTTTGGTCTTCCAAGCGTTTATGGACAAACCGATCAATTTCACGACCTCGTTCCCCCGTGACACCAAAGACCGGCGTCCGGGTGCAAGCTCAATACCGTCACTTTCTTGTAGGGCCTTCCCAAGAACCCAGTCAATGACGACCGGTAACACAGCGTAGCAAACTATCGATTAGTGTGCAGGCCAGAACACCGGTTGCAAACCATTGTCCAGGGTTGTTCCAGAATGAGCTGGAACTGGAGTTGGAGCGGGAGCTGGCAAACTGGAAAAACCCCCGCTGTCTTTGTGTTGTCCTGAATAAAACTCTAGCCACCAGAACCGGTTCGTTGCCTTCTTTTCTGCCAATTTATAAGGAACATAATAAAAGTCTATCTTCATTTCCTACGTAGCAAATTTACGCCTGTGTTATTCCGGTCACCTCTCGGGTTAACCGAAAATTACCGCTTACATTAATTCCAGTGCTCAGTGTGGATGCATTGCAACAGTACTTCGTACAAAAACTCGACATTTACGCAAATGCCAAGTAGACCTTTTGAGTGATGTGCGGCAATTCGTGAAACATACCTCCATTGGTAGTGCCATACCAATGGTTGATATAGAATATTTAATTCTGGTTATGAACTTACTGCAATGCGTTCGTG